GGCACCCCGAACGACACGAAATAAAGGAAGGAGGAAGAGAGCGGAGAGGGCAAGAACTGATTGAACAGGAGAGAGAGGGCCCGAGAAGAGGGAAGGAATACGGGCAGACGAGGATAGCAATGAAGAACGAAGAAGAAGAAACACACATAGAAGACTAAGAAGACGAGTAAGACGAAGAGATGACGCGAATCAGAATGATGATGACGATAAAAAAGAAGACAGAAATAAAGAAATAGCAAGAACGGGGTAATCATCAAGACTAAGTATAAGAATCAAGACCCCTAAGAACGCCAAGACTAATACATCCATCCTGCCTCTCATCACCGTTACCTTCCAATCAGAATCCTCCTCCTCCTCCTCCTCCTCCTCCTCCTCCTCCTCCTCCTCCTCCTCCTCCCCCTCCTCCTCCTCCTCCTCCTCTTCCAGTCCTCGGGGGAGGCCTCACGGCCACGCCTGGGCGCAGCTCGACGCACTGGGCCACGGCTCTGGGCCTCCTGGTGGGGTCGGAGCATCGCTCCGAATCGCCGGTGCGCCGACGACGCGGCTCGATGTGGAGTCCGAGTTTCCCCGCGATGCATCGGCGGTGCGCTGCCGCGGCGCGATCCTCCGGCCCCGTCTGCCTCGGGCCCGCATCGAGGCGTGGCCTCCGATCGGTGGGCGCTCGCGAGCGGGGGCGCCCCCGAGCCGATCCGAGGCTGCCCTCGAGCTGCTGGCCAGGGCCGTGGCGCCGCTTCGATTCGGCTAGGTTGAAGTCGGGCGTGTCCCTCGACAGGAGGGATCTTCAAAAATGTTTAAAAGTCGTCTGGGGACGATTTTATTTTAAACTATTTTCGAATTTTGTTGGAGTATTTTCTTGGCATTTCGAATTTTTCGCCCAGAATCCCCCTGTAGGGGGACAGGCCCGACCTAAGGCTAGGTCGGCGTTGGACAGAACCCCCACCCTGACACGTCGAATAGTGAATTGTCCGTTTGCGGTTCTCGGGAGGGCGCCGCGGCCGTCGTTTTCCAGGCTTGCGCCCTCCAGGGTTGGGCCCGAGAATGTTTTCACTAAACCACGTTTTGCTAAAGGGGATTCTGCCCATCCCCGATTAGGGCGGGTGTGGGCTGGAGCTGGGCGCGGTTCGAAGAAGAAGCTCCGCGCGGATTTCTCGGATCCGCGCTGGCCCCCCCCTCCGGCAGGGCCTCCAGCGCCGCCTTTGGCGCGCTCCGCGCGCCAGGGAGGGGGGTCCAGCGCAGATCCAAGAAATTTGCGCGGAGCGCCAACAGTTTATGTTTATGGAGTTGTTTTTCTTCCAGCGGTGGCACCTGTCTCGATACGATTCGGGACGGCTTGGCTGGCGATCCGGTCAGTTTCCGATCCGATCCGGTCCGACGTCGCGATTCTCAGCCTCGCGCAGGGGGGGGGTTGGAGGGAGGGGGGAAGGCTTCTGAGTAGTACCCCTGCTCCTTAGAAAGGCGGCGGCCCTGTCTGCATATCTAGGGCTGGCGCCTCCTCAGAAGCAGCCTTCGTCTGAAGAAGCCTTGTCCCCGCCCCCTACCCCCTTGGCCGCGCCGCCAACGTCGGTTCAGCTCCGGCCTCGCGAGAGAGGTGCGGCGATCGAAGAAGGCGCCCTGCCCATCAGCCCCCCTGGCCGTCTTCGGGCGGGGCTGGGACACGGACAGATCCGCTCCCGGGCGACCTGGAACGCCCTCCTTTTTTTTTTTTTCCTCCCCTCCGCCTCAATCCTCCTCCTCCCCTCCTCTTAATCCCCTCATCCTCCTCCCTCCTCCTCCTCATCCTCCTCCTCCTCCTCCTCCGCCTCCCTCATCCCCTGTCTCCTACCTACCTCCTCATCCTCCTCATCATCCTCCTCCTCCTCCTCCTTCTCCTCCTCCTCCTCCTCCTCCTCCTCCTCCTCCTCCTCCTCCTCCTCCGCAGCGCTCCGAGGAGGCCCTGGCGCCCGAGAGACGTCCTCCAGGGCCGCTGGTTCTCGGAGATTATCTCGGTCTGTCCTCTCGCCCGTTTTTTTTCTTCTCGTCTTGGCTTCGTCTTGCACAGGTCAGGAGGGGAAAAACACACACGGACACAATTAATCGGCGATGCCCCAGAAAATATTGGAAAATAGGGGGGGAAGACAACAAGCCAGAAAATATAGGAAAATATGGGGAATCCTTTTATTTGTGTGTATGTATTTGTGTGTCCCAGGGCCCCTTCAACAGGCCCAGGCACCAGGAGCCCTCGGCGTGGGTCGAGCTGCGCTCCTCGCCGCCGCGCCGCGTGCATCCGAGTCCGTCCCCGAACTGGCTTCGTCCTGCGTCCGAGATTCCCTGCCCGGAAGCGGCCGTCGGCCGCGCGTGAGGGGGCGGGGGGAAGCCTCCTCAGAAGCACCCCTGCCCCTTCAGAGGGCGTGGGCCCTCTCCGTGGATGCAGGGCCAGCGGCTTCCAAGAAGCAGCCTCCTTCGAAGAGGCCTTTCCCCCCTTCCCTCGGCCCTCCCTTGTGGCGCGCCGCCGAACCCGGGGCGGGGCCGAGTCCTTGCGAGGGCCGCTCCCCGCCCTCTCAGAGGGCGTTCCCCCCCCCCTGTTTCTGACGTCACCTTCCGGGGCAACGGCACGGGGGATGGGATGGGCCAGGGGGGGTGGCTGTCTTTGAGGATAGGCTCAGGTCGGGCCGTGTCTCTCCACAGGAGGAGTATTCAAAAGTGGTTAGAAAGTAGTCTGGGGACGATGTGTTGACCATGTTGGGGCATGTCTGGCAATTTTTGTTGGCTACGTTTTGTTTCTCGTCCAGAATCCGCCTCTAGGGGGACACGCCCGACGTAAGGCTAGGCTGGGGGGGTGATAGCGAAGGCCAGACGAGACTGGTTAGCAGCCAGGAAAGCGAGAACGGAAGCAGCGACGCGCCCTCGAAAAAGCCCATGGTGAAGACGAGGTGAATTCGAGGGCGAACCGCCCAGGAATGCACGGATTCGCGATCGGGGGCCGATCGCCGATCCATCGCCGATGTATCGCCGATTCCAGGTCGATGTTTCCCCTCGCCCCCCCTGCGCCAGTCCCCCCTCGTCGTTGCCCCTCACACCCGCGGGCAGCCGGAGGAGGCCGCGGAGTTCCTCGAGCAGTGTGCCCTCGAGTACGCGAAGAAGAGGTCCAGAGCGGAGGCTGCGTGTCCAGCGGGAGCGGCGTCGATGGAGGCCGCGAACGAGCCAGCTAGCGCTGCCGCGCGACTCCGCCACCGCGCTCGGGCGGGCGGTGGGAGGGGGGGGGGGGACGCGCGTTGGAGGGCGGGGTACAGAGGAAACCTAGTCCAAGGAACGCCCTGCTTGCCCCCAGTCGGGGTTGGACAGCAGCCCCCACCCCGACACGTCGAATCGTGGATTGTCCGTTCTCGGGTTCTCGGGAGGGCGCCGCGGCCGTCGTTTTCCAGGCGTGCGCCCTCCAGGGTTGGGCCCGAGGTCGTTTTCACTGAACCACGTTGTGCTACATGGGGGTTCTGTCCATCCCCGATCCAGGGTGCCCTGGGTCTCTTGGGCTTCGCTGGTTTTGCGATGGGAAGCGTGACGTTCCCACACATAAAGTCAATGGACGTCGTGGGGGCTCAGGGTTGGGTCTCTTTGAGAAGGTTTCGTGTGATCGAGCTCCTACTTTAGGTGGAGGGTTCACAGACCCCCCTGCCCCAGACTACGTATGTATTTGGGACCATGTTCTGACAGGAAGGTCATCACCGCAGGGACTTGGCCACGCAAATTAACGCATCTTGAGCTTTATGCGTCGGGGGGCCTAATTCGCTGTCGCGTCGCAAGAGGCGAACGGGCCCTACGCACGTCAACCGCTGCAAGCGCGGTGGCGGACATCATAGAGAAGGCTAAGTGGGCCTCGTGGGACAGCATGTTTGCGCTCATCGAGCAGCATCCTGGTGCCGTGAACCTGCGGCCTGAGTTTCGCGTCTTCGGTGTGATCCACCAGGCCGCCTACCACGGGGTCGTCGCGGTGCTGAGGCGGCTGGTGGAGGAGTGCAGGGCGGATGCGGGCCTGCTTACGCGCGACAAGAAGACGGCGGTGCAGGTCGCGCTGGACTCGGCCAAGCTGGATGCCGTCAAGTACCTGGGGTCTCTAAGCCTGCCTGGTGGCTCTTCTGGTGCGGGCACCGAGGATCGAGGAGTGACAACTGGCATGAACATGATCCTTCGGAGCTCCGCGCGGACTTTTGGGATCGGTGCGGGACCTACCTGGCGGCGCCGCTGGCGCCGCCCTTGGCGCGCTCCGCGCGCCCGGGGAGGGGGATTCGAGCGCGCATCTCTGCAATCTACGCGGAGCCTCCAAAGTTGATGCTCGTATTATGCCTTTGCGGTTCCTCTCGAGGAGGCTCAGGCCCACGCAGTGATAGACGCCGCCAAGGACGGTAAGTGGGAAGCAGTGTTCCGCCTGCTTGGGGAGGGCCCCCCCGGCCTGGTGAACATCCGCCCCGGTGTAAGGAGGTACAGCGTCCTGCACCAGGCGGCCTTCCACGGGGACATCGAGGTCCTGCGTCGTCTGATCGAGGACTTCAAGGCCGACGTCAAGCAGCTGACCGACGAGGGCCAGAACGCCCTGGAGATAGCGCGCCTCGAGAAACACGACGCCGCGGCCAAGTACCTGGAGGCGTGTGTTCCGAACGTCAAGCTGGACGACGACTTTGTGACGTATCCCGAGCAGCGCTTCGTCACCCTGGGCGAGGACGAGCTCCAGACGTTCCGGGACCTCCTCCGCAAGACCCACAAGAAGGCCTGCAATTGGACACGGGACCGCGACCAAGCGAGTGGCAAGCACGTGGACAACACTCCCGTGCCCACGGGGTACGAGCTGGTCGGGGTCAGGCGCAACGAGAACCCGGCGCTCTGGAGGATATACCAGGTCCTCGAGGGCTAGATCACGGTATCGACAGAAATTCAACGAGCGAAGAACGGTATAACATATTTTTTTTCGCTGTCGGGGGCGCCTGTCCCTGGGCGGCTGGAAAGCTTATACCCCTACGGTGGCACCGTACGGGTATAAACTTTCCAGCCGCCCAGGGACAGGCGCCCCCGACAGCGAAAAGTTTATTTTATACCGTCCTTCGCCCGTTAAGAAATGTCCGGAGCAGATGCCTTGAGTCGGCGCCGGAGCCTCCCTCCCTTGGCGCGCGGAGCGCGCCAGGGGCCCGGGCCGGAGGCGCCACCAGGCCGCCAGTGGGCCTCCAGCGCCGGTCCATGCATTCTGCGCGGACCTCCGAAGTTTGTGATGACGCCATCGTTTTCGGCCCCCGGCGGGCCACCGGCGTCGGCCGACATACTGAGATCGGGGGCCCCCAAACGGGGTGGTGACCACGCCGTGCGGTGAGTCGGTGGGGATTCGGGGTCACCGCACGGATCTGGGACTCGGGTCGCTCTCCGAGGACGTCTCGGGCGACAGGGGCCTCCGGGGTCCCCAAGACCGTGCGGTGACGGACCGTGCGGTGAGGTCTCTTGGGGTTCCGAGGTCACCGCACGGTCTGTCACCGCACCGTTTCGGGACTCCAAGTAACACTGTGCGTGCTTCGCCCCCGGATGGGGCGGCGCGCGCGCCGAGAAGTCTTCCTGGTGTTTGCTGCGTCGCCTTCGCTTGCCGGCCGTACCGCTCGGCGAGTGGTGCTGCATGTTCGGGCAAGGCGCACGCAGCAGCAGGGCACATCGTACTCAGCAAGTTCTTCTACGCAGCAGGACACATCGTGCTAGTGTGTGCTCGTGCGTCCCACACGCGTGGCGTAGCCCCACCAGCCCATCCACAAACGATGCCCAGGTGAGTTGCCCTGTTCATGGATGTATAAGAGCATGCAGTGGAGTCAAGGGCTGCGGAGGCCGTCATATCCCACTTTGGGGGGACGGAGGACGACACGGAGGAGGAGGAGGGGGAGGGGGAGAAGCAGGGAGAGGGGGAGGGGGATGTGGGAGGAGGAAGGAGGAGGAATAGGATGATGGGGAGGAGGAGGAGGAGGTGGAGGATCAGTCGGATGTCCTTGTGCGTCCCATGCCAGGTCTCTCGCGAGATCATGCGGTTGAGCTGTCAGAGCAACGAGTCCTTCGCGCCTTGGTCGCCGCTCACCGCGGAGGGCCTGGACTGGTCGCCGCTCGGGCTCTGCGCCGGCGCGAACGAGTGGCTGCTCCTGCACGCGGGGCTGCCAGAGGCGCTGTCGGCCATCGCGGGCGGGTGGTGATCGGGGGCGGCAAAGAGGGGGGTGACGACTAGGGGGGGGATGATATTATGGCGGGGGCCATGATATTTCCCCAGATTTCATGGCGCCTCTTCTTATTTCATTACGTCCCTTGTCCCCCCGCTGGGCCGCGCAATGCCGCCGGTCATGATTTGCCCCCCCCCCCCCCCCCCCGAACAGCCCCTCTTGGCCGCTCCCGAGGTGGTTCGAGTAGGGGATCGACTACAGAATCGATCTACCCCAGAATTGATGGGTTCGTCGGACCCGGGATGAAAACTACGTAGAATAGCCAGTGGATCTACGGAGCGTTGGCGGTATGTTTCCTCAGCATCGCTCGGACGTGTTCATTTTCTCTCGGCGAGAACCATCGAGGACCATCCTGGACCATCGAGCAAAAGAAATTCAGCACGAAGCCGACAAATGCACGGGAAATGGACGTCCGAGCGACGGCAAGTTTCGTGGACTCGATGGGAAGTCAATTTTGGGGCCAAGCGATTCAGCAGTCGAGCCCCTTCTCGAGTAATGGACCCATATGGGGAGTTGAAGAGAAGGGCCCTGAAGGGGCTCTCTCCTTCGCCGCCCATGCAGGTCGCCCCCCATTACACGCCGGTCGTTTAAAGTAGGTATCTGTGGACTCCCAGATCCCAATATACTGCAAGCGTTAAGTCGGGCCTGTCCCTTTACAGGGGGAATAGTCCAAAATAGTGAAAGAAAAGTATGGGGACTACTTTTTGAGCATTGCTTGGCCATCTTAGAGTATTTTTTGAGTATTTTTAATTATTCGTCGAAAATCCCCCTGTAGGGGGACACGCCCGACTTCATGCAAGCGCCTTCCTGCTTCGAGAATCGATGCGCTCCTGCCGTGTTCCGTTATTCCCAGGGAAGGCCTGGACCTAATCTCTTGGCATCGCTTGGACGTGTGCATTCTTTCTTGGCGACGTCCATTGAGGAGCAGTCTTGATCATCTAGTAAAAAAATTCACGCACGAAAGCGAAAAAAGCAAAGGGAATGGACGTCCGAGAGACGGCGAGATCTACTCTCTCCGCCTTCCCAGTTATTGGTCCCGGGTCGACTTCGGTGGGTGCTGGGTTCCCGGGCTCCCGGGTTCCCTCCCGGTCGATCTCCCCAGGAAAATCATCCATTGATTGGGGTTTTATTTCTGTGGTGCAGCGTTTTTGCCTCCTTCCGACCGGCGCGTGCCACCCGCCCGGCTGTCGCGCGCACGGGCTTCTCCATGGCCACGCTGGGCTCGGGTGGGACCACGGGCGGAGGCGGCTTGTACGGCAGCGGCACGTACTTTGCCGACTCCATCACCAAGGCCCGGGCCGGCTCTTCGCCCCCCCCGCCCCCGTGTCGGCGGACGACCTGTGCGCACCGCACGGCGCCGGTGTCTTTTCGATGCTCGTGCTGGGGGCTTCTGGGGCACACCCAATGGGCCTGTTCCACTCCAGTTCGACTCCAGTTCGACTCCAATTCGACTCAGGTTCGTCTCGGGCCGGGCGAAAGGGGGGGATTGGGAAAGGGGGGGTTACGAAATTTGCTGCATGCAGCTGGTTTCGGCATCACCGAGGGGCCCATTTCTCGATACATAGCCGCCTCGGGCGCCGGGAGGCGCCGGGAAAATCAGCTACGTGAGCTGATTTTCACCCCCCCCCTTTGTTATCCCCCCCTTTCGCCCGACCCGATCGTCTCCAGTTCGACTCAGGTTCGACTCAGGTTCGACTCGAGCTGACGGACGTTCGGCGCAGCTTCGACGCACGATCGGAGCGATTAGCTCCAAAAAGGCCCCCATAATGAGCATCCACATGTCGGGGATAGCCAGGACCCCAGGTAAGGGGAGCCGGTTAGTAGTAGGGCCCCGGAGCCCCTAAATTGACCAGAATCACTAAACCATGTCTGCCGTAGCTGGTGCTTTTCGGGTGACGGCAGTTCCGGTCTGTGGAACGGGGCGCGGGGGCGTCCCCCAGTACGCATCGCTAAACCAGGTCCCACTGAACCCAGTTCTGCCAACGCCCGCACGTGTCTCCCGAGGCGTCGTCGATCTTCGATCCGTGAGTGGTACGGTGCATAGGTTCGGGAGCGGAAAAGAGGGGGGTGATGACTAGTGGGGGGTGGATTTCATGGCGCGGGCCATGATATTTCCTCAGATTTCATGGCGCCTCTTCTTATTTCATTACGTCACTTGTCCCCCCCGCTGGGCCGCGTACATGCCGCCGGTCATGATTTGCACCCCCCCCCTCTTGGACAGCCCCCTCTTGGCCGCTCCCGATGGGTTGTTGGCCCTCCGGGCCAGAAGCGTGCGCACCGCACCGCGCTGGAGCGGTGCCAGGAAGGAGGTCGGACATGGTACGGCGCATTGGCGCCCTTGCCGTACCGACGGCTTAGATTTGTGGAAGTCGATTATCGGAGAGGAAGCATGCTGCCAAGCAATTTCCAGATGTCTAAAGCATGTTTCAAACATGTTTTAACTATGTAAAAGCATATTTGACAGATTTTTAGAATCTGCTTTACACATTTCAAACGCATTTTAAGTCAATGCTAGGATTGTTGGAGTGTCCATTGTCATGGCATCCACAAGCTTAGATGCGCGTTCTGGGGACCTTCTTGGGGGCCACCTGAGGGACCTGTTGGACTCTAGCTCGACTCTGGCTCGACCTAAGTTCGGCTCAACTTTGACTCAAGCTCGCCTCGAATTCGACTCAGGTCGACGGACGTTCGACGCAGCATCGATGCATGTGTGGAGCGAGTGGCTCCAGGAAGGAGCCGGCGCCCAAAAAAGAGGGGGTCCGGGGCAAAGATAGGGGGGGGATAGGCATAAGGGGGGGTTGCATCGACCCCCAATCGACCATTGATCGCCGATCAGGGTCTGGTAGCCCCGCCCCGCCCAGGAAAGTGCGGATTTGCTGTCGGGGGCCTATCGCCGATCCATCGGCGAGGCGTCGCCGGTGCAAGGTCGATGTTTCCCCCAGGCCCTCGGCACGAACGACATGGGTACCGAAAGAATGGGTACACTGCCCAGCAGCAGCTCTTGTTCGTTTTGAGCAGGCCTCGCTGTGCGCGCCGCCGCGGCCCGTGTCCCTTTGAGACAGGAGGCCGCCTGCCCTGCAGCGGCCGCTGTTAGCCTGGGACAACACTCGTGGCTGGGCATCGTACCCCCTTCTTCCGTGCCCATTCTTGGCGTTCAGAGTCCCCCGGGTGGTCTCCGGGGCATGGCCCGGGCCTCCGGCGGCCCTTCGGGACAGCAGTTGTTGGGCGCTGCACCTCCTTTTTCCGTGCCCATTCCGGGCGTCCAGAGTCCCCAGGTGGCTTTCGGGGCATGGTCGGGGGGCCGGACGAAAGGGGGGGATTGGGAAAAGGGGGGTTCCGAAATCTGCTGCTTTCAGCTGGCTTCGGCGCCACCGAGGGGCCCATTCCTCGATACATGGCCGCTTCCGGCGCCAGGAAGATCAGCTACGTGAGCTGATTCTCCAACCCCCCTTTGCTATCCCCCCCTTTCGCCCGACCCGAATTTCGGGCGTCCAAAGTCCCTGGGTGGTCTTCGGGGCCATGCCCATGTCCATGTCGGGCGTCCAAGGCCCCCGGGTGGTCTTCGGGGAGGAGGAGGAGGTGGAGGAGGAGGAGGTGGAGGAGGAAGAGGAGGGGAGGAGGAGGAGGAGGAGGAGGAGGAGGAGGAGGAGGAGGAGGAGGAGGAGGAGGAGGAGGAGGAGGAGGAGGAGCAGGGGGAGGAGGAGCAGGGGAGGGAGGAGGGGGAGGAGGGAGGGGGGAGGTGGAGGATGAGGAGGAGGAGGATGAGGCCCGGGGCCTCCGGCGGCCCTGCGGGGACGAGTCTCCGGCACCCCGGGAACGAACGCTCTCGGCGAGGCGGCCTCCAGCGCGGCGCGGCCACGGAGAAAAAAGCAAGCCGAGAGGCGGGCAGAGCAGCGAGAGCTCACGGGGGCGCGCGGAAGCCTCGAGCCTCGAGCGCCCGCAGCGCTCTCCCCCCCTCCTCCATGAGAAGCCACGATCGTGCCCGAGCTTGGTTTTTCGCTTCTCCACCAGGGGCTCGGCGACTCTTCGCCACGTCGACTTGTGGGGATCGAGCCAGACAGACCGAGGCAAATCGGGGCAACTCGAGGCAGATTCGGACAACTCGAGGTGGATCAGGAGGTATCCAGGGGCATTTTTAGAGCAGGGGTGGACCTGCACGGTATTTGGGCGATCTCGTGGGCCGTTCTCGGTTCGGCTTCGTGCTGCGCTAGAGAGGCGGATCGCAGGCAAACGCGAGGGAGGGCGAGAACAACACGAAAACGAGAAGCACCGCTCAGGTTCCGCCCCGTGAGAACAGCTCACGGCCGTGCCTGCACGCCTCGAACATCGACCGCCCCTGTCATGTCCCGGAAGTCGTGGAGGCGGGGCGCAGCGGCGGGAAGGCCTCCCGGGGCCCGAAGGCCGCCGAGGGTCGGCGTTCCCCTGGCATACGGATGCTCTGTATGCGTCGCCCCCCCCCCAGGGGCGACGCGCGCACGGAGAGATCTTACAGTATACGGTGGGGGCGCGCATCAAGAAACCATGTGCTTTTCGTCAGGGTATCCTGGGTTTCTTCGCCCGGCGCGCTGCGTGGCGACTTCCCGCGGCCGTCAAAGCAGCCGCTGCGTTCAGGGTGCTCGAGGTTTCCCTTCAGTTCCACCTCGCGCGCGGGTTTTCATCAGTGTTGGGCTTCTTGCGGCCGCGCCCGCACTGTATGCGTCGTGGCGGGCGCTTTCTGGCCACACCGCTCGGGAAATACTACTATATGGGTATACTATATCCGAGCATCCTCTCTGGGTGGAGGGCAACGGGTGAAATCTGAAATACCGTTTCGATTGATTTTCGAGGCCTGAACCCGCAAAAGGTGAATCACAAGACGGATTGATTCCCGAGGCGCAGAAGCCCACATGGACTTTCACCCTGAGCCTGCCACCCTAAGAGAATGCTCAGCATATGTCTCGGTCGGACGCGCGCCTCCAAGGAGGACGTATAGCACTAGCATGTCTTGGTGCGCCCCAGAGAGCAAGCGAACATGTCCACGGAGGCTGCCGTAGCCATGCCGCGCGGTGCGCCCGTGGCATTCGGGCTTACTCAGAGGAGGAACAGGTACCCCTCCTCCTTGCTCCTCCTTCTCCTCCTCCTGCTCCTCCTCCTGCTTCTCCTCCTCCTCCTCCTCCTCCTCCTCCTCCTCCTCCTCCTCCTCCTCCTCCTCCTCCTTCTCATCCTCCTCCTCTTCTTCCTCTTCCTCCTCCGCCTCATCCATCCGCTCATCCTCCCGCCTCCCCTCCATTCTCATCCTCCCTCCTCCTCTCCTCTCATCCTCCTCCTCCTCCTCCTCCTCATCCTCCTCCTCCTCCCCCTTTCTCCTTCTCCTCCTCCTCTCTTCTTTCTCTTCCTTCCTCCGCCCTCATCCTCGCCTCATAACTCGCCTCCTCCTCCAATCTCCATCCTCCCTCCCTCCTCCTCCTCCTCATCCTCCTGCTCCCTCCTCCTCTCCTCCTCCTCCTCCTCCTCCCTCCTCCTTATCTCCTCCCTCCTCGCGGGTGTGGATTCTCCTTGTCCTCCTCCTCCTCCTCCTCCTCCTCCTCCTCCTCCTCCTCCTCCTCCTCCCTCAGGCCGCTTGGGCTCGAGTTTGGGAGGCGGAGGCCTGGGGTTTTCTTAGAGTGGTGCTTAAGTGTGTTCACTTGTGATCTTGCCAATTTCACGAGTGTCCGCGAAAGCAGGGATGACGCCGCCGACACACAAGTCCAGGCCGTAGACGAGTTCAGAAGCTGTTCAAGCCCCACGGCCCCGAGCGTCGCGTTCATTTCGAGAGCGATTCGGATTGGGAGAACAGTAGCGTCGGCAGCACAGGCCTTCGCTTTCGGGCGAAGGGGCGTATGAAGAACGAGCTGGCGACCAAGCAGCTGGACGACCTGTTGGAATAGGCCCTGCGCGCGACACAGGATGAGGATATGGGGAAAGCGCTGGAGGCTCTTCGCAGCCGCTTCGCCTCGCTCCCCGCCGCGTCGGCAGAGTCGGCGGCGGAGTCGGTCAAGCGCGCCGACGGAGCATGGCGGATTGCCAGCCATAAGCATGAGCAGTCAGTCGCGCAAGTTCTCAGACTGAGGATGCAGCTCCAGACCACGGGGGCCAATGAGCAGGCCGCCGCCAAGAAACTGGCCATCGCGGGGTGCATGAAGAAGGACGCGGTTGCTGCCCTCGCCAAGGCAGAGGGCTTGCCTGGCACCAGCGCGGCGGGCGCCGGCGCAGGTGGCTCAGGTGGGACGTGGCCGACGATCAGCACCCAGATGCGCTCGGAGTGCGAGGAGG